GCTCTGCGTCACATTAGATGCAATTTCCCGAGGAATATATTTTGGCGAACCGGGCGCCGCTATACGCGTCAGCTTGTTCGCTGGCGAGGCATCGATTAATCTGGAGCTGCATTAACTCGGCCGCGCCCGCGCTTTCCATTCCGCAGCTGCGAACCATTGTGAAAACAAGCACAGCTCCTGACTGACTCGTGGCTTGTTTGCCCCGCTTGCGTAATCCGGAAGGACGCGCGCAAACTTCTGCTTCAGCTCGCTACTCGGCGCGCCAGCCTTATACCTGTCACACGCGACACCTGCTTATTTGCATGCCCGCCCCGCCCCCCTTCTCCCCCCTACCACGTCACTTTTATTTCCTCGCCAACTTTTCTCACCAGTCAGCGTCGCTCTGCTCTCCTCGCTTCCTCTTGTCTATTTGAATTTAGAGCTTTGCGTTCGCAATTGCGGTCATTACTTTGTGGAGCACAACGACACTCGTTTCATGCAACTCATTTCGTTCTTAATTTTGCTTCTTGAGATTGAATAGCTAAGCCTCCACCTCGAGTCTTCCGGTATGTCATCGTTGCATGATCAACTCGGTGGTGGAATTTCGTTTTCCGGACTAGTTGGCAGACAAAATCAGACGACCACTAGTGAATCTAAATCTCTGCAGATCAGTGGATTGGAAATCGAAGCTATCGCTGATAGCTGATAGCTGATTTTCGCGTAGTTATAACAATGGAATTGGATCGAAGAAGTAGAAAACATTTGGATGGAAGTACGCAGGGGGCGAAACGATATGTGCCGAAGCCAAGGAAATCGACGCGAACGGCTCATCGTTACCAAGTCCAGTTGAACGACGCGCCTTCCTTCGTTTTCATCTACCGCTGGGGCGCGATCTCGTGTTCGATTACCAGCATTAAATTGTAGAGCTTCGCGGCAGCTTCGTTAGACTCAAATGAACTTCCTGCCGATGCCGTCGAAAGCATTGTGCTTTGCCGTGGCTACTTATTTCTGTTCTTACAGCCGTATCCCCGCTATCAGTATGCAAATTTGCCGATTGATGAGAGCTGGACTTGACGAAAGCCAATGTAAAGAGAATCACTAGATGAGACTGCCGTTGAGTTTGATTTGATTAGAGGTATTTTCGTGGCATTAGAATTGATGTTGGCCTTGGAGTTTAGAGGGCAATGCTGGCGCGAAGAGGATTAGCGTGAAACTGTACATAATATAACATGGAGTCGAGGAAAGCGAGTATCAGTGGAGCGACTATCTTGAGGTTTCTCGTCTAGGCAAGTTGATGATAGACTTTGAACGAGCATTAAGCTATGTGCGTAATCGTGGGCAACAACAGGGGCTAACTGGCACTCGCTTGCCTCGTTACCCGATTGGATTCGAGGAAGTGAGGCTGCTTCAGCCGTGCGTGCGCGCGTAAAATGCACCTAGCGCTTTTTTCTGCGGAATATTGAGGGGAAAATTCACGGCAATTTCATTTAGCCAGTCTCTGGCTCTTCCATCAGAGCCGGCGGAAAATGTTGTTTGTTTGATGGGCCTTTGCAATTTGATAACAGGGTGTCGGGCCTTCTACTGTGCAAGCTCGTTTGCAACTGTGTTCGGAAAAAGCCTCCCCGTCCTGTTGCCGTCCGAAGCGTCATTCGGAGCCCCAGGCGCGCTTTTGCTTTTCACAGATGTAACTTGTGCCAAAACGAGGAATGCAAGATCGCAAGGGCTCAGCTCGGCAACGTACGTTGTGCGGTGGTGCTAAAATAAAAAGCGAGATGAGCTGAATTTGATGCCTAGTGAAATGTTTACGACTGGCGGGGCGAAGTTTCGAGCAAAGTAACAAGTTTGATCCCACGGGACATAAGTGTGATGTTATGCGAATATATGCCATAAGGAAAGCTCTCGGCGCGCGCGAGCGAGGAAATGAGCGAACGGGCGAATCAATTTGATGCGAGCGATGAAGCCACGGAAGAGCAATCTAGTGCTGCTTTGGCGGAGGACGGAGAGAAGGGAGTTCGGGCCGAAAGCGCAGAAGAAGGACGGGGGCGGGACGACGAGCGGCGGTTCAAATCTTGGCCGAGTTTTTCGAAGCATCTGTCATTGACAAGCCGCGGTACCGGTGCTTATTCACAGGCTGCTGCATGCTGGATCCGAAAAATTGCCGGCGAACAATTTATCTTGCTCGGCTGCACTGATGATACTGCAGCGCGGCTGCGGCTCGCGGCTCACGGCTCACAGTTATATCAGTTATATTGGTGCATCCTTGTGCTTTTGTTCGCGCTTTATTTATCGCCGCCGAGCTTTGTTGCTCGCACTTTTCCTCGGAAAGGAAAAAGAGACGAGCTGTAGCGCCGAATGGCAAATCAATTGAGAGGCCGACGCGTTCGCGGGCAGGAGTAACGGCCAAGCCGAATATACGGTGGGCGAGTTGCGTGAAAATTCGAGCTACGAGTCAAAGGCCCCGTCGAACGGATCATTAAATCTCGAGCCAGCGCTCGGCCGCTCGCTCGCTCTCTGCATTCCAATCGGCCGCGCCCAGCTGCGAGCAGAAGCAATTTGCCTGACTCGGCAGATAAAATTTTCAGGTGCAATAAACGACGCCGCGGCAAACTGCAGGCCCCACAGCAGGGACGTGCTATAGTCCACAGTTCTTATTCTATACTAGGTTCGCGAGCCACTTTCATCGTCGCGCTCGCTGACTGGAGATGCCACGTCGCCTGTATTATTCGCGTTCCATTGCTCCATTGTTCCAGGGCGCCTCGCTCTAGAGTCGGCTCTCCTTGCATCTGCATTGTCTCGAAGCCCAACACGTCCTTTCGGGTGCGCAGCCTCGCTGCAATCCACGCTCTTTCCAATGCACGCTGTACCTCCCTAACCTTTTATCTTTTACACGCGCGCATCAAACTTTCCTTTTCAAGGCTCAGGCACACCTGCGCCACTCCGCGCGAGCTTGCAAGCCTTTCTCCCCACTCGAAAGAAGAAACTTTCGAGGCTTAGCCTGGTGCCAATTTAAGCGTTCATCACCATTAGCATGTTCCACGCGAACAAGGCCGAGATCATAAGAACGAATCTAATTGCCGTGAAGGTGAATTGTGGCTGGCGAAGCTGCGGGGTGCAAGCCCAAGGGAGCGAGGCTGAGGCATTGATAAAGCCAAGTACTGGCATAAAGTGCAGCTCGGTTTCATTGCCTCTCGTGCAAGCTTATTGCCGGGCTCTCAAAAATTACGCCTTTTATTTACGAGAGTTGGGAGCCGGCGCACGTGGGAATGCCAATTCTCGCGTCGGCTTTTAATTGCGACTCGGCTTCTTAAAGCGCAAGTCGCGCACAGACTTTGATTCGACGGCTCGAGCTTGCGGCAGTTTATCCGCGAGTCGTTGCGAGAAGCGGAGGCCGGCTGGGTCAGTGCGATCGTTGCGTCGAGCCTCGAAGGACCGGTTTTGTCGCCAGTTCCGCGCAGAAAAGCACGCTGCGAGCTGAATCTGCATCGATTTCGGAGAGGTCGGGCACGCGCGAGGGGGGATAAGGCGACAGCACCGCGCGCACTAACGATATCGTTAGCGCGATATTTCGCTAGCGTATCCGGGCGAGAGACGCGAGAAGCGAAAACAGCGCAGCGATAACGGAGGAGGGCGGTTGCAGCCAGGTCGCAGCCCCGGGATGAATAGATGGGGAGGGGGCAAGGGATAGCGGCGTGAAGCTGCAATTGCGTCAGCTCCCCGAGACCTTCGCTCGCACGCGCTAATGCCACCCGTGGGACATGGCCCGCGCGCGCCACCTTATTCCTCGCAATTTGCCCTCCGCCCCGACGACCTACGGACGGTCGAGCGCCGCTCGCGCCAGCGCTTTCTTTCCTCCCGCGCGGCCTGCACCTATCTCAAGGCAGCCTTTCGCCCGCCGGGCATCTCCTTTCGCGTAGAGGTGCCTGCGTTCGGCTAGCCTCCTCCTCTTATCAGCTTCTTTCCCGATCGGCCAATGATTACTCATTTCCGTAGCCGTCCGACATTCTTTTTCGAATTCATCGCTTGGCGTTCACTTAAGGCTTTGTTTTCGTAGCTTTTGTTCTAACGTATCTGCGTTCTCAAGAGCACAGCTAGACCGCGCAGCATGCTGCATCGGTTAGTCAGCAGCGTGCATCCCGACGCGAAAGCCAGTTTGTCGCGTGCATCGTGCCAATCGCAATTGAAAACTCGCGCGACGATACTCCGATATTGCCCTGCTGTGGTCAACAAGCGCTTTATTGAAATTGACGAGAGTCGGCAAAGCTCCATTGATTGAAATTGTCCCCTACGATTAATACAAAAGCCGGTGCCGAGAAGAAACATCGCGATGGACGAAATTAAACGAACGCGGGACGAGGGTCAGAAGTGCGTACTTTCGGGTGCAACTGCTGACATGCCTGTTCGATGGAGCTGTGGACAGAGAGATCGCGGGGTCAAGTGGTCTGTCAAGCCGTGTTCTAGCAGGCCAGGCGGCAAGTAGCGTTCTCCGCGACGCTCCACTGCCAAACTTGGCTCGAAACAATGCGACGATTGGCTCCACATAGCGCTGGACTGGCGTACTCTATGCCCGTTCGACCGACCACAGCGGCAAGGAGCTCGCCTTCTCGCTCGACTCGCGGCTCTTCCACACCGAGAACCGAGGCTCAAAAGTTGGCTCGGCTCCGCGACTCCGCGCGGACGCATTCGGTCCTTTGGCGTTTGTCTCTGCACTACATATATCGCGATCACGATCGCCGCGCGAAACGCTAACGCCCGCGGGAATTCGCAGGCACCAGCGAAGCGTTGCGCAGTGTTCCGGCAAGCCGATAGAATTAGCAGGCAGCTTTGCGCAGCCACGCGAAACGCGCGACGCGGAAGTCTGGACTCGGACTTGGGCGCGCGCCTCTCGGGGAGGTCGCCGGCAGCGCGGAAAAGCGCGGCCACTTCGCTCCGATTGCCAATCGGCCGCACGGGAGGCCCGCCTCCGCCTGCGGACTCGAGATAAGTGGCGCGCGCTCAACGACTCGTCGGCGCTCGTGTCGCAGGCACGTCAAGACCCATGCTGGCGCCGGACGAGGCCTTCTCGCCGCGGCTGGTGGTGGCGGCCTCGCACACCGCCCTCTCCGGCGACCTGGGCGTGCTGATCATCGAGCTGCCAGCGGCTCGCGGCTGGGCGGCTCGCAGCCCGACCGAGGAGGACGAGGTGGAGGAGGGGGAGGGGGAGGAGGAGGGGGACGACGACGATGAGGACTACAGCGCGGAGGCCGGGCCGCTGGCGCCGCAGGACCCGCTGGTGCTGAGGTAAGCGAGCGGCGGCTGCGGCTGCGGCGGAGGAGCGGACTGGCAGGATCGGCCTCGTTGCAGGGTGCTGCGCGAGGACGGCTTCGCGTCGGAGCTGGTGGGCGAGGTGCCGGTGCAGGTGCCGCGGGCCGGCGGCGCGAACGTCTCGCTGCTGGTGCCCTGCGGTCTGTTCTCGCGCGGCGGCAGCTACTCGCTGCAGCTGCAGCGCAAGTCCTGGCCGGTGGCGAACCGCCTGAGCGAGGCCCTCGAGGCGGACGCGGCGCGGCGACCGGCGCCGGTGCGCGCCACGCTCGACGTCAGGTGGCCCGCGGCCTCGCTCAGCCTGGAGCCGGCGCGCTTCGCCACGTACCCCAGCCACGAGGTGCTGGCCACGCTCGAGTACACGGGCATCTCGTGCTCGGCCGCGGCCAGCCTGCCGCTGCCGAGCTTCAGCCTGCAGCTCATCTACTGCGGCGCCTCGGTGCTCTCCTGCGACCCGCGCAACCGCAGCCACCTGCAGACCCTCTACTCCGAGCGACTGCAGGGCTTCCCGCGGCAGAAGCTGCTCAAGCTGCGCTGCGAGTTCTTCGGCCTGGCCGGCCACTACGCGCTCAGGCTCAGGCCCGAGCAGGACGACCTCAGCGCGCCCACCACCAGCGCCTACATCAAGGTCAGATCCTGACGATGCGTTCGCTAAGATTTAAGCCAACGATCGATTATTCTACTTTCGCTCCAGTTTTTTCCATTTTCCTTACGCGTGTCGCTTGTTAACTTGTTACATAGTCAATTAACGTGTGCAGATTTACTAGCAGTTACAACTTATATCTGATTGCCAATTCGTTCGTATTACTGATTATTTAGTGAACTATATTTTTAGCTTTCATAAACTACAATATTTATGTCTAATGCATGTATTCGCAGACCAGGTTCGTTTCGTACAGCTACCAGTTCTAAATGAATTTTTTAACTTTCTTTAACGTAATGCTTTTATATTCACCGCGAAACATAAAACGCAACTTTCTTCAAAAATAAAATATTATTTGATATTGTCTTTCTACAGAAAAATTAATAAACTTAGTAAATTGACAGAACATATTCTATACCACATGATCGTAAATTTCATCATTTCTTAATAATAATGGAGAGAATCTTGAAAATATAGATTTTTCAAATATTAATGTATTTCTGCAGAAATATTTTATGTATAGAATTCTTTGAGTATGTCAATTTTTCAATCGATTTTTTCGTAGAAAGTATAGTATCCTAATAAATACTATTTATGTTTCTTATCCACTTAAAAAACGATTATGTTAAATAAATAAAATTTTAAAATTGATGTAAACTCAAATCGCCGCATCAGTATTCGTATAAAATGAACCCGGCTTACTTAAACAATCTAATTTTCTCTATTTTCCATTTCTAACTTAATATTAAGCACAAAGTACACCAATTAAAAATTAACAAAAGTTGTTCAAACTTAAAAAATTTTAAATGTTATTAGAATTCCATGTAAAGTAACAATAAACTCTAAATCGAAAACCGTCTGATGTATGCGCATCGTTTGATATTTGTTATTTCATCAAATTCAAAAATTAATTTAGAAAATTCGTTATAATATTACATTTCAAAGGCTATAAAGTGAAAATTGGAGAGAAAACGAAAAAGGATATTGTTTCATGAATTTATCTGTCCCTGCTGACCTAAGCTGTGTATGAGATTGATAAAACGGTCGCCGCTCTCGTCGGAGATAACAGACAATATGAATTTTTTCTATATAGATTTTCTCATGCTTGCCTATCTTAGTTGTATGTTCGGAGAGTTTAAACTGGCTCAGGCTCTCTTCCTTCTGTGTTTGAAATCTAAGAGCATTTTCCAAACAGGATTCTATTCATTCTTATAAACTTAATTTTTCATTTAGTATACTCAAAATAAGATCAAATTAAATAAAAAATTGTTAATACAACCTTCTCAACACCTCGTAATTCATAAACTTTTGATATCTCGCGAAGATTTTGGAATAGTTTGTTTACGGATGGTTGATAATAAGTTGTGTTTATAACGTTATAGTATTAAAAAACAAAATATATAAGAATAAAATATTATTATCTACAAGTATTATTCAAGAATTTTAGGAAATCAGTAATTACAGCAGATGAAATAGAAAAAACTGGAAAGAGATTAAAGTGGAATAAAGTTTTTATGAATTCTCCTATATTAATCAATTGATTTGATCAGTTCAATTTGTTTGAATTTGTATTTAAAACACATGGCCCTTTGAAATCTTTGGAAGCAATCGGTGCATGAAACGGCCAATTGGAGATGTTTTTGAAAGAGTTCGAATGGTTTTATGAACGATATTACAATGGCATAAATCGTTAGCTGTCACGACATTACAAATGTTTTTAAAGCGATCATGAATAATATTTGTTTTCGCGAATATAGTTGTAACGGGAAAATTGGTTGGCATGTAACGGCATTATTGGCCTCGACTACTCGATAACGCAGAGCATTATTAACGCTTTGAGCAACCAAAACCGCTAGCAAGTTTACGCGCAAGTTTGCGAGCTGCGGCCGAATTCTCGTCCGAGAGGAACTCGGCTGCCGAGAGTTTGGCCGCGCGAGCAACAGCTCGGCAAGACTGGCTAGCGGAGCGAGCGGCGGCTCGACATAATGGGGCAAGTATCGGATCGCAGGTGGAGTGGTCGGACCTGTTCGTGTTCAACGTGCACGCGCGGGCCATCTACCCGTGCAACGCGAGCGGCGGCAGCGGCGGCGTGTCGGTGCTGTTCGAGTACCCGGCCTGCAGGCTGCCCGGCGACCGGGTGCGCGTCTACGGCAGGCTGCGCGCCGACGTGGACTCGCTGGCGCCCCCGTCCAGCCTGCACTACGTGGCCGAGCTGAAGGCGCCGCCGGGCAAGCACAGCCTCACCTTCGACTGCGAGCTCTTCACCGAGCGCTTCGTCGAGTACTGCTTCGTCTACATCAGTCAGGCCTACAACGGGGCCATGTCCGAGGTGCGGGTCGACTGCATCCCCTTCTTCCCTGTCAAAGGTCAGTTGCGTTTCGCAGTTTTCTACAGCCTGACGTTGCTCTGCACTCTGGACTCTGGTCTCGTCGGAGCGCCCGTCAATCCGATTGCGACCTCGAGCACCGGAAAGAGCCTGCGCTGACGGGCTTCTCGCTCGGTCGCGCCCCATCTACCCCATCTACCGTGAATTAATGTACAGCAGTCTTGAGTTCCGATCCCTCGCGCTCGCAGAGATTTGACAAACGAGGACGAGCCCCGACAGCGATATCGAGCGAATCGCAACGCGCTCACAGTTGAACCGTTTCATCACACTTCGCCGCCGAATAAAATCTCGATCATTCTTGTTGACAAATCTGAAAAGACCGATCTCGCTGTATCCGATCGCAGCGCGCAATAAACCTTTACGAGGCGAGATATCAGAGTCGAATGGAGCTTTGTGGCTCTTACGACCACTGACGTGGCCTCGCCCGACGACATACTCCACGTCGATTACTCGCGCGCCAAATTTACAAATCCATTGCTAGAGGCTATAGTATCGACCGATCGCCACTTCGGCCCTTGGCGGCATTCTTTTTCATCTTCGAGGTCTGCCTTGTCGCTGTGGCCAAAGGATCGATGCGTATTATCATACTCCGTGCATACAATGCGGTAACGGACTGATTGAATAGCGCCAAGCCCGTACAGCCTCGTCTTGGCTAGAGATAAAATCCTCGAGGAATTAGCCTTTCAGCGGGATCACGCTGGAGGTTTATCGAGAAAGCCATTTGACGAGTTGTCAAGTCGCGCAGTCATAAACCGCGAAGCGTGCTGCGGTTTTCTCGCGCGTATAACAGCGTCGCCGGGAAAGTGCAAACACTCACGAGGAGCTCTGGAAAAATCAATATGGAGAGAGCTGTCGGGCCTGCGATAGCAATTCGCATTGTTTCATCCGCCGAGGCGATGGAGAAGTCGAAAAAAAATGAGGAGCAAAACGACGGCCCACGTCCCAGTGGGCAGAGCGAGATCCGAGTAGAGCACGCGAGAGAGAACGAGAAAAGAACGAAAGGCAAGACGCCTGCCGCCGGTTCCTTCGGGATCTAACTCCCTCTCAGCTTGTTAGCTCATCGCCACCCCCGCCCCTCGTTCTCTGAACATTTGTTTACGTCGCCTCGAGGCGCCAGCCTTGTCGCTTGATACCTCACGACAGATAGACCGAGACCGGCTTCCACGAGCTTCCGCGCTTACTTCGTCACTATTTCGCCACTGCGATATAACGTCTCCTACTTATCCGATACCCCGTGCTTCCCTCGTCTTTGTCCAGAAGCGTTTTTATTTTGACTGAAAAATTATGCCGTCAAAGCTACATTGTTCTCGCATTTGATCGACGATAACGTCATTATCTAGCTGCAAACTTATTCAAATTGTTTTCTTCAACCGGGAAAGGAGGTAAGTCATGCTGGCTGACCCACACTACTCCATCGGCACTTTTTTCAACCATTTCCAGAATAACTTCTGGCCTTCGAATAGATACGTTATACTCATTTCAAATTACTTCACTTGCAAATAACGAGTCGAGTGTTTACTTATTAATGCAGGGTAAACTAAATAAAAAACTGCTTTCTTCACATTCTCGTTCGCCATCATATAGTATTTGTATTGGTGGTGTAAGCAATGTGGGCGCCGAATTTTGCATTGCGTTGCTGAAACGGTCGACTTGATTTGCCCATTATTACAATTTGTGGTCAAGTAGCTTCGTAGCCTAATGCACATGAGACAATTGACTGTTAATCAGTCTTCAACTTGGTTATTTTTTGAAACGACCTTGATTATAGTTGGGAACGGTCAAAGAGCAATGAATCACTGATTTTTAAAATGACATTGAACGGTCTTCTATTCTCTCATCGATTGGTAGTACAAGTGAGAAACATTTTATTTTGTAAGCTTACAAAGTACACGTCGACAATCAAGTCAACATTTTTGTTGCTAGCATCGTTGATTAAAATATCTATGTAAGCTATGATTACTCGATAGTATTCTAAAAACATATAATATGCACAGCATGCATCAGAGCTACATAGTCAGATAACCAAGGATGGCAAGATTTGTGAATGATTTATATACATACAAATGCTTCAGTACTAACGTGGCTTGGTTCCTAAGCAAATGTCGTGGTGTAGCATAACCAATTGCCTATTATCTGCATTGCTTCTCTCTTGACGATTTATAATATCGCACTGGGAGATCGCGGGCGAAAGCTCGAAGCGTAATGGCATCGGCATCTTTTCAACTCTGCCTTGAGAGCGAGCGTGCGATACCGCGCGCGATGACGATTGTTCGCGATCCGCGCATCTTTTCATCTCGATGCAACACGCAAGTTGGCTGTGTAGCTCAGAACTGAGGTTCGAATCGCCGCGTTCTCGCGAGTCCATATAGCGCGATGCGATAGCGTGTCAATGGAGCGAACGAGTGACAAGTGGCGATATCGAAACGCTTGATAAGGCGATTGTCGTCGAACACGGTGGATCTGGCCGAAGGCTGAAGAGAAAGGAGAAGCGAGCGAGATGGGCTGTTTGACGCAGTTGGCCAAGAGAGGAGAGCAGGCGTGGCTCGATCCTCCTTTAATGAAATCATCAAGGCCCGGCTGAAAGTATCGATTAGCGACTGATTACGGGGCAAGTTCGGGCTTCGAAGGAGCCCCTTTGAAAAAGAGGTCGACGCGGGCAAATTGGCGGCTTGGAAGTGACTTTGCCGAATCGAGCGCGAGAGGCTAAACAAGCAGGAGCCCGGGGCGTCAAACAAATGGAGTGTTAAAGCAGCGAGAGCGAGAGAGCGCTTCGGGCAGCTCGGCGTAGCCTCGCGCGCCGAATAATTTGCATGTAAATGCCGCGCTCCGGCTAATTCCTTTAACTCGCTCGGGCGTTCTCGAGCCAACGAACTAAAGTGGAGCTACGAATTCGGCTGCTGGTGCTGCTGCTGCTGCTGCTGCTGCTGCTGCTGCTCGCTCGCTCTTGCCACGAGGACGACGACGACGACGACAACGTCCAAACCGCATTAGCTGTTTCCCTTCCAATCCAATTTCCCGTCCGATCGGCCCGCCGCCGCCACCGCGCGAGTTTCTGTAGACGCTTAACCTCGTTACCAGCACCCATCCCCGAACTCGACTCTCCGTTCAGCCTGGTTCCCACTCCACGATGCCCGTGCCGACGCCGCCGCCGACTGTTTTCTCATTTTCATCTCATTTCGGTCGACACGGATACCTGCCTGCTCGCCTCACCTTTGGCCCTCTGATTTGCCTCGTTATCCCATCCAGCTCTCCGCTTGTTGCCCTTCTCGTTTCATCCCATCGCAACTCTGCACGTCGCTCACTTTGATTTTGCCTTTTCCCTCTCGTCGACGCAAACGAACAACGTTTTTCCTAAAAATCCAATAATCTTCTTCGAAACGTTATCTCGAAACCGACCAGACCATTTTTTTATGGCTAATAGTTATTACGTCTCTTTATGTCATATTTCGTTGCCCACTCCAAGATGATTGGTGCTGCCCTATGAATATATTTATTTTGTTAGATTCCATGTAAACATGTACAACGATATTAGTATTTACAGTACTAATGGCATTGAAAAACAACATCAGCTACTACTGAATATTCAAATTTGAAAAAAAAATTGTAAAATACGATGAGGAATTGAGTAGAGTAAATTGCATATTATTAGCTGACATAAATGGCCAATTCTGCAAAAAATACATAAAGTTGGTGTAGGTTTCGTAAGAATTATCAATTGAATGCTCACTCCGAAAGAACCAAAAAATATTTCCACTCCTCCGCGTGCATTTGTATGAAAATTTTTTATTGCGTAAAACTCCTCAATTCGATAGGAAAATGTGTTATACAATTTTTCGTAGATTGGTGGAATTTAATAAAAAGCGAAAAATCATAAATACATCGAAAACAATTTATTAATTTATTTTTAGCACAAACTTTCGATGTTTGCAGAAGTTGCTGAGCTTTGAAAACTGTGTCACTGTATGAATAACATATGGCTCTAGCGAATCTGCAAAATCGACTCTTTTATATAGAACTGGAATCAACGCTATTGTTATTTTTCGATGCGTATTAAATTCCAATAAACTATAATAAACCCGAAAAAATCGGAAGAAAAGAAAATCTAATCCATACACTTTTTTAAGTCATTAGTCATACACTAGTCCGTTATATTAAAAAGACAAATTTGAAAGTATGAAACGCAAGCTGTAGGATGTAATGGTAAAGTTTTGTAAATGAAAGAAAAGCAAGATAAAAATATTGGAGACGTTTATATATAAAAACTATAACTCATCGAGTTATCTCGGTCTATTATCAGTATGGAGCGGCTTTCTCTCGCTAAAAGAAGAGAGTTGGACTATAGGCTCATTGTATTCTTTCAGAGCGCGCTATCGTCCCGGGCCAATTCGCATTTCATGCCCAGACCTTAACGGAGCTTTATCTCTGCTTTCTTCTCTCCCTTTCTCCCGTCCGAGCGATGTTTTCTTCCGTGCGCCTGCTGGATATTTAGCCATGAATGCGCTTCACACGGTATAGCGAAAAAAGGTAAAAAATTTTTTTGATGCATAATATGCATTCGGGCAGCATATACGAGAGAAAGCTGAGCTCTTCGGGGCTGCTCGCTGAAGATCGAGGATGTATAGTAGAGAGCAGAGTTGAAAGCGCATTATGCGAGCTTGGCCATTTGACACGTGAACGCCCGATTGACGAAGATTCACGCGAACCCCGTGCGACCCCTAAACGCGCATCGAGGCTTAGTAGCGAATGGCAAAAGTGCTCTTAAAACGGCCAAGTGGCGCCTCGCACTCGCCGAAGACTGGAGTGGCCTCGCATATCCCGGTCGAGCCTGTGGAACTGGCGGAAGCCGCGAAAGAGGGGATCCGAAAACGAGTCGGCTCGGAAGCTGCAACGGGCAGATCCCCCTTGCAGGGGCACTCTCGCGAGTCGCCGTGGCAGGGAGGCAGAGGCGGAGCTCGCCTCGTCCTAACCTCGGTGACCTCGGTCCGGCGGTTGCTTGCAGAAGGAGACGCCGGCGGCTGGGGCCAGTGGAGCCAGTGGACGCCGTGCAGCAGCTCGTGCGTCGGCGGCACGCGCAGCCGGCACCGGTTCTGCGACGCGCCCCCGCCGCGCTACGGAGCCAGATTCTGCCAGGTGGGTGCGCCGAGCGGGCGCTCGGCACCGAGCCGCTGGGGCCGCTGACCGGCGCGCGCTGTTGCAGGGCGAGACGGTGCAGGCGGAGGCGTGCGGCGGCTCGGCGCAGCTGGACCTGACGGGCAGCTGGAGCCCCGGCGACTGGGAGTGCCGCCACGGCCTGGGCTTGGCGGCCGACCGCGCGGAGGTGGCGGCCGCGGTGGGGCCCGAGTGCCGCTGCGGCTGCTCGCTGCGCCTCGAGGACGCCGGCGCCGCCAGCCGCGTGCTCGCGGCCAGCTCGCGCGGCTGCCCCGGGCGCTCGCTCTGGCTGCTGCGGGCGCGCCCCGAGCAGCTGCTGCGGCTGCGCCTCGACCAGGCCAGGCTCGACTGCGACGGCGCCTACCTGCGCGCGCGGGACGGCGAGCTGCCGATCGACCGGCTGCTGGCGGACCTGGCGCCCGAGCGTCCGCCGCGGGCGCCCGGGCCCGCCGTCGTGCTCAGCTCGGGCCCGCGGCTGCTGCTCGAGTTCTTCAACGACCAGCAGCGGCCGGCCTGCGCCTGCGGCTTCCTGGCCCACGTCAGCGCCATCCGTAAGTGGGCCGTCACGGCTCGTCGCGGCTCGTCGCGGCTCATCGCGGCTCTGGCGCTTTGCAGCTAAGCCGGCGCCGGCGGACAACGCCACAGCGGCGGCCAAGCAGCCGGCGATGGTGGCGATGAACGCCAAGGTGATGGCCGCGGCCGGGCGCTGGGCCCTCTGGCTGACGCCCGCCCACCTCGCGGCCGCCTCGCTGCTCGGCCTCGTGTTCCTCGCCTCGGTCTTCCTGGCGCTGCAGTACGGCTGCAAGTACCGCAAGTACCAGCTGGCCGACGACCTCGACAGTCTCGCGGACGACTCCGGTGAGGGCCGGCGGCGCCGGGTCGACGTAGCCCCCGTCGCAGGACTCGCTCATCCGGTCTGTTGACTGTCCGCAGCTTGCAGCGGCTCGGTGCAAGGCATCGCCAGGCGAGCGCGAGCCGTCTCCTCCTCGACGCTTATCTCCGAGGTGGTGTCTCTGGTGCGACTGCCGCGGCGCGGCTCGCGGAGGCACGCCAAGCTCGAGGAAGCCAACGCCGACATCGAGGAGGGCTACGAGAGCACGGAAACCCAGGCCGAGTAAGCTCCACTATCTTCCTTGTCGGTAGCTCGCACGCCACTAGCTCGCTGGGGCCAAACGGCTGGCCCACCGTTCGCTTTTTGTCGTGAGCTGTATCGAGTATCCTCTTCCCGGCCCACGTCTCGAGTGGCTGGCCGATGACTAGCGTTTGCCCGCGAACGGCCGTCCGTCTTGCTGGTCATTGATTTCCGCGAGCTTCTTTCCGTTAGCCATCTCCTATTCTCTCGCTTAACCCGTCGCCTTCAAAACTTATCTCCGCGATAATCAAATTCTCCACAATCTTTCCACTCAGACCTGTTCTAAATGCAATCTATTTTCATTAGACCGCGCTCGTTTGTTTCCCCAATTACACGCGTTTTAATTTCAGATCGGAAGGCACAGTATTATACTTACATCTACCGTTCATAATAATTAATTTATGTTGAACTTTCGAGCAAAATATGACTATTCTACTTGCATTATGAATATAGAAAATATAAAGCGAACGGAGAAAACAAGGACGAAGCGGCGACGGTATTTCGCTATCTAAATGAATTCCATACGGTCTACGGAATAATTTGTCAGCCCCGGTGAAATTGGTGCGGCCTAACTCATTGCCAGTAAGTGTCTGGCGTGGAGTCTACGTATTCTCGCGGCAAGTTATTAACGTTTTGATGCGAAAAATAAATATTTGATGCGTATAGTCAATGTGGAGCCAAGTATTGTGGGCTTGATTACACTAGTCAGTTTACGGGCAAAGCTTATAAAGTGTAAAGTGGGAGAACGTAACAGGCTTCTCCGAGCGTTAGTTGGGTCGCGTACGGAGAGACTGGATTTGGCCAGTGTGTGTGTGATGAGCACTGAACGATGCGGTCATTTGCGCAGTAGCGGCGAGGAGCAGGAGCACGAGCAGGAGGAGGACGAGGAGGAGGAGGAGGAGGAGGAGGAGGACGACGACGACGAGGAAGAGGAGGAGGACGAGGAAAGTAGCGACTCGGGGACCTTGAGGCCGCGCGCCTCGGAGGAAGGACTGCAGATGCAGCACCAGCAGAGCGGTTCGCAGCGGACGATCGCGGCGAGCAGTGTGCGGAGCACTCCGTCGCGTCGCTCGTCCGCGCAGTCGAGCGCCTCGTCGAGCACCCTCGCGCCCGCGGCCCCGGGCGCTGCAGCCGCGCCGCCGGCCTCCGTCCATCAAGCCGAGGTCAAGTACGCGCGTCCTGTTAAGTAAGTTCGGCTGGGGCATGTCGCCTGCTATGTCTTTTATCTCTCGTACTCCGTATATGCCACTTTAACACGCCATTTTGCTTTCAGATCCGTCCAATGACGCGCGCGCGCGCGTGCTCGCTCCCTTTCTCTTGTTAAATCGTCGTTTCGCCTTAGATATATCGCACGCCGTTCGTTTGTCTCCGTTGCGCCCTTGCAGCCAACCACTGCCTGCCTATCGTTGCGATTTCGCGTGTCGACGGATACCTCGATCAGCCCCAATGTACGAGCAGTCCTGTCGCGAGCGCCGTCTTCTCAATAAAAGCTTCTCGTCCATTCTTTATACAGAGCGATCCTTACTTTCCGCCCGTATTCCTATCTCTATGCGACGTGCTGTCGTTGCTCACTGCTCATCTGAGCTTTCACAGTGGAAGCCATTAGAATAAGTCCAAGGAAATAGTCGCCGGTCTTGCTCACGTGCTTGACATACAATACAAACGACGGCGCTTCATTATAAGTATTATCTGTTCAAGGAATGTGCATGTATCTGTGACAACTTACACCTACACCTATATCAAGCTGATACTCTGGCCATGCATTTGCGAATTGCCGTTACCATTCTAACGACATCGCACACTCATCCACAACAGAATACACCTCCGACGACATTCGTTTCATCAGCATGCACGCAAAATCACGATACGCACGCTCGACACAATACATATAGACTCGTATATATGCCAACAGCAATACCAGTTCAATGCTCAAATTAACGATCCTGCGACACGTGGCATTTCGTCAAAACTGCAATATCCGTGCAGTGGCTCGATAAAGCTATTTTATTTATTTATTTTTTTGTTTTTTCGAACGTACGTAGTTTTACGTGGTCGTATCTTTTTTAAACTACTTCTCTTGTGACGATAATTTGACCATGCTTGGCCTCAAACCCACGTGACTCAAAAACAATCAGCATAGGAAACCATATTAATACTGTTACATCATTCACTAGATACACTAGACATACTCGTGTATAGAGAGCATTTTTGGATTTACCCCTATATCATACATCTATATAAATATTCATCATTTACTTGTGATTAATCAACTAATTCTAACGACGAACGAGGATTGGAAGCAGCAAATGAAACCAAGTCATTGGTTTTCTAGGTTGCGCACGTTCGGTCCGGTAAGCCCGGTATCGGAAGAAGCGGCTTCAACGTCAGAAGATGGAAGGCAATTCAGCGCTACGAGTACTTCGACCAGTCAGAATAACGTAAGAGTTGACTCCCTTTCGCCTTCTTCGGATCAACGGCTACAATCGCCGCGTCGATCTTACCGGTCGGTTCGAGGCTGGCGCTTCAACTTGATGCGGCGATGGTCAGCGACTTGCTCCGAAGAAGGTTCTCCCGCGTGATCCCACGCTGATACAGCCGAGCTGATTGCCGATTGGCGCGCGCGCGTGCAGGGCTTCTCTCCGGCGAGCAGCTCGTCTAATTCGACGCTGCGGCGCTACAGCGGCAAAGAGTCGAAGGAGCGCCGGAACCGCGAGCGCCTGCTGCAGGGCCCCGGCTCCGAGTTCAGCCTGGCCAACGCCGACCTGGAGATGGAGCTGGACTACTACGACTACAACGTGGTGAACGCGGGCGCGGCGCCCGGCTCCTACCTGGGCATGGACCCGGCCTTCCTCGTCTGGATCCCGCCGTGCAGCGACGCCGAGGCCGACGAGGCGCGCGAGGCGCACGAGGCGCACGAGGCGCACGAGGCGCACGAGGCGCACGAGGCCGACGAGGCGGCGGAGCCGCCGCCCGGGCGCGCCCTCAGCCCGGCCGAGTACCAGCGGCTGCGCTCGGCCGGCAAGGGCCTGCTCGAGCCGGCCGAGTGCCGGCTGCACGACGAGATCATCCGCGAGTACAAGGCGCGGCTGGGCGAGGGCGCGCTGCCCATCCACAGGCTGCTCGAGGAGTCGCGGCTGCGCGTGAGCGCCGAGTCGCTGTCGAGCGCCGCCTCCGACCGCATCCCCAACCGGCTGCGCAGGCCCCGTCGGGCCCGGCGCTCCAGGCCCGCGGTGCGCAAGCGCAGCCCGGCGCGCGAGGAGCCCACCAGCAGCGAGTCCAGCGCGCCGAGCCCCGCGGCGGTCAACGACCTGGACACGCCGCGGACCAGGCGGCGCTGCGTGCTCGGCCGGCTCGACGCGCGCGAGCTGAACGTCGCCGCCGCCGCCGCCGCCGCCGCCGTCGCCGAGCCCGGCATCCCGCTCGCCGAGTTCCCCGGCGGCCGCCAGCGCTCGCCGGCCAAGCTGCCCGCCAGGACCAGACTCGGCCCGGGCCCGCTGGAGGCCAAGCGCTCCTTCTACGACATGATCCAGCAGGCCGGCGACGACATCAGGTTCGCCGACGAAGACGACGAGTACGTCGACAACAAGGCTGCGGCTTGACTCCCCACTCGCGCTCCTCTTGTACATACTTCCGACCCTCTCGCGCCTTACACGCGCTCGTTACGCTGTCTCAGGCGCGCTCTGCATTACCAAAGGCATTCCACGCTACTCGTGCAGTCAGTCATTGTGCCACTTGCGCACTCGGCGCGTCAAATTGCTGCCACCCACCCATGTTGCTATTCGAAATCATGGGACGCGACCAACCTTGTTTTTCTTTTTCTTTTTTTCGCTAAATCGACGGAAGGCAGCAGCTCTTGCACACTGGCGTACTCGTTTCCTCTTTCATGTACAAAATTTTCCAACAATGCTGTAGATTGTAAAGATATTTGTAAGTTAGAGTTTTACGTAAGTAGCACGACGTCAGATTTTCCTAGAGAGATCATTAACTTGACGACATTTGATTTCTATCAGACAGACGAAACTTCATGCCAAAGTTTCATATTTTCTTATGGTGTAAATTACCACAAATCGTGAAAATATTTTGAAAGGTAAACCAGTTGACGGCTTAATGCCGTCGGACATTTCCAGTGCAATGTATAGTCGCAAATGAATACATCAAGTGGTACATAATCCTCAAATATATTTATTCATACGAAATATACATAATCACATTTTTTTTAAAGTCATATTTCGACAACAATTGTCTCATATCAAACTCATGTATAAACGAATTTTAATTTAAATGCTACACCCTTACTGTTTTTTCAACAAAAGTATAGTTAAAAGATGTATACTTCGACGAAAAGAATACATATATTATTTCATAAAACCAGTATTTCCAGTAAGCTAACATGCGTAACAAACGAATCATATATTATCATTTGAACTCATTTAACTCAAAATCAAATCAATTTCTTGATTAATGTTCCAGGAACTATTTTTCCAATTAATCCATAATTATCCTATACAATTTCCATTCCACTTTTCAAATTCAATTTTGTTTCGAGTTTGAACTTTATCAAAACAAAATTACAATAGCTACCCATCCGACTATATCGTACATAAAATGGGGTAGCTCTTAATGAACATTTATTAGTACCTTAAAAACGTCTAGTTTATAATAACTCGTTTTAAAATGATCTTGTTTAAGTTTTCGTTTATTAAAAAAAATATTGATATAAAATTTTAAGAAATCAATACTCGTCTCAAGGAAAAATAAATGAATTGTTTTCAATTCAATAATATTTGTTTTGTTATATAAAATCTTAAAAACAAAAGTAAAAAGTATTTTCATTATAAAAAGTAATAATGAAAAAAAATAAATATATCGAATGCACAGTTATTATCAAAGTATTCGTAACAAATGTTCAAATAACTATACTTTGCATAAGACCAATCATAAATTATATTAGTGTTAACCGAAATAAGAACCACATGTAAATTATTCAATAAGACTCACATTCAAAGACTTTAAATGATATAATTAGAATCATGTGCAAATTATATAAATCTACTGATTTAACGTATTCAATAAGTTCTAGTCAATTATTTATTGTAATATATGATGGATGTGTGTATATTTATTAATAAATTGTTAACATACACTTTAATTTTGTTCGCATAGTCTAAAATTTCACCATTATACGTTATTGATTGATCTTCCATAGACTATAATCAATGTTTTTGTTTTATCATTACTTGACTACGGAATTTTCGTTTAAATGATTTTACTTGTTAGAACACCACACGCTTATACATGTTCATTGTTATGCAATCGATGAATCAATAAGTAACTGATTTTTTCTTAATATTAATAATTAATGGATTCTAAAAGATTTTTTTTAATTCAAACTGATATAATGCTTCTATCGCTAATGATTACGCATTCACACGCGAAATAGTTTGATATCAAAATGAACCACTGAAAAATTTCGTGTAACAAGTGACTTAGAATATTATAGTCTTATCAAATAGTATGTAATATTTTTCATCTTGTCGAGCGACGGTCATCAATTTTCATTTCCAAATAACATTTTTATTGAAAGCTATAATCATCTAATTCTTTTATTACAATTTGATTGTACTAAAGACAAGTGCGTAAACTTGAAAATGTCTCATTTGTTCGACAAAATACTGCTCATGAAGTTTTTGATTACACCAAATTAAAATCGTTGCTAAGCTAACTATTTGCAAATGAAAATACTCTAAAAGTCGGCAAATGAATTAGAGGGGCCATCATCTAATAATATTATTGATCATAGCAACTATTAAACTATTTAGGTTTTTATTGGTAATAACGGGGAATATATTCAGATTTCATAAGAATGCTGAATATTCAAAGCTTTTCGAAAATAGTATAGTAACTCGTTTTGCTCAGGTGTAAATGTCCGCAGAAAGGTAAAATCCTTTTCTCGCATTAGTACGTATAAAAATCATGAAATTGAAATTTCCTATTTTACCATCATTAATTTTGATCGCGAGCGTCATCAAGCTCGCCTTTCACCGGGATTAAAGAAGAATCGAGAGGCAGTGCGGTACACCAATTTAACGAAGCTGTATTTTTATGCGACAATTGAAATACAATTAGCGAAAGTTCAGCACGATGGACTGTATGCTGTATGCTATGACCGTACAAACTCTCTTGCTCGATACAACCGGGGTCCGCTGCCTGCTGAGAGAAAGCGCTTGCTACAACTAGAGAAAGAGAGATAGAGAAATTAATTAATTAAACTTTATCAAAGCCGTGAGCATGACGACCCTATAAAATATATTCTTTAATTTTACAAGCAATGAGATTCGGAATAAGATCAAATACGTATAGGCTTAAAATTAGTTGACAATAATGCATAGTGTAAAATTACATTAAACATATTGAGCATTGACATTAGCAATAAGAACAGAAAATATAGTATAAATTAGGCATGTTGAATGTACGTAAGTTGTCGATAAGATCTTATGAAGAAGTAAGGTACATATGTAAAAAAGATAGACGTGTTAAGTTTAGCTACGGGAAGTGTGAGTCACTGCTTTTCAATGCAGAAGATATTGAAATTTATGTATCTGTCTAGTATATTAAGATGCTGTATGTATTGTGTTCGTGAAGGTAGAGAGATTAAATGGACGAAGAACAGGTGGAAAGAGGGAGAGAGAGCCTGTGAGGCCCTCGCATGCAATTCTGTTTTCTAGGAAGTCTTGTTCAAGCAGCATAAATAGAAAGGTAATCTGGCTTTTGAACACAGACAGATGAGCAAACGTAAAGGATATAACAGAAAGCTGGTTCAGGAGAAACATACTGTACAAAACAAACGAGTTTTTCCAGGCTTCGGTTCGTGGATTTGGATAGCGAAACGCCATAGGTGGAAATATCCCGATGGGACTGCCGATTTTGGTAGTAAGTTTGGTTAATTGATGTAGGTAGTCAGATATGTGGATGTAACCCCTATATCCATATATTGTCCTGAAAGCAAGTACCATCCTGTCGGAAATAATTTATGCTTAAAATTATAATAAATAGAAATCGTTAGTTAGTAATATTTGCTAACAGTTATTTACAGTTTATAACCGTTTCTAGACGTCAGATTTTGGATACGTATATAACAATTATAAAGATTTATTTTCTGTTAAAAAATTGTCATTATTAAATAACAACAGTTTTTTCAGTTACTAATAGTTATTTGCGCTTTTATTCACCAAAAACAATTTATTTTGAAAAATAATAGATGCAAATAACTATAAATAACTACAAATAACAGTTATCACCAATTACACACGGGAATAAAAAATTAGCAACTATTACTTACAGTTAATTAATTGTAATTATTAATTTGCCAAAACCGGACACAAAAAATGTACTTATAGACGAAAAAAATTAAATGATAATAATAATATATAAGTGTTTAAAATAATTCTTTTTAAAATAATAATCACATATGATAACTAACTATTTATGACAGTTATAAACAAGTATTTACATCTTGTTTAAATTGATTTAAAACCTGTTCATAACAGTTATTAATATATAATAGCAAATTTTTATATTGTCTATAACTGTTAATAACTGTTATACGTGTCTAAAATCTGACGTTTATAAACTATTTTAAACGGCAAATAACTGCGTACAACAGTTTTACGCAAAAATAATTTTCAACAGGGCAGTAAAAGGCTATGATCCTTTGGGACTCAAGTGTAAACCAGTCTAAGCGAAGTTTGTGAAAGGAGATGTGAGACACATCTTCTAAGGGTATAAAGGGAACATAGCCCGCTACGAGGCAAACACAGCCATTATGAACTACTTGGAAGAATTTTATACGCGTTTTATCCAGGTGCATCTAACCCACAGGGCTATATGCAAAATGCAACGAGACAAATGACTATTTCCTGGTTGTAATTGTTAGAACTTTTTTTATAGAACCGTAGATTAATTTAGTGAAGTGTAAACTGTTTTAATGATTTGGTTTGTATGTTGCTTCTATTGCAGAGTCGATAAAATTATAATTATAAGGCCCAAAGTTTTAACAGTAGAGAAGAAAGGAATCTCGTGATTGTTGATTATGATTTTCGGTAGAAGAATAAGGTCAATACTGGACATGTATATAGCTCGCTACCTATGTCTTAGCTGCATTGATCTGTAATCCGTTTCGAAAAGTTCAATCTATCATCGCCTGTGCATCAAGTTAAGCCTTCCTTAGATCTAGAATAATATCTTTGGGGTGGCAGTGGATATAAATTTGAGTATCATCGGCATAAACGAGATGATTTGTAAAAAATAGAACTTTGGACAGATTATTGATGAAAATGACAAATACTAATGGTCCTAGGACAGTTTCCTGAAGAACACTTGATTGGAAACTACCCCACCATCATCAACAGCAAGAGAGAGAGAGGGAGAGAGAGAGAGAGACGGTTCAGCTACAACTGCTGATCGACTTCTATCTATCCGTTAAAGTTCGGCGGCTTTTATATGCTCCCACGGGTACTGCTTGCTGGTCGGCGTCGCTCCCTTCTCATACGTGTTTAGGAGGTTGAGAGATTGGCGAGAACAGATTAACCTCTGCTCATATAGATATCTCTAAGCTCTCGACCCCTGCAAGCCGGCCTATTCAAATCGCAGGCACCGTTTGTGCTTGCGCTCCTGTCCGGGCAATAGCGACACCTATCGAACTCTGCCGTCGTGAGACTCAGTAGTAGTCGGTACCATTGAGCAGGGTTATTTTATAAATCAATTAATTATTATGAAACCTTTTGGGTAGATTTATTGTACACAAACAAAGCGCACTCAACTCTTCTTGTCATAAAATTAGCGGTAAGTAGGAAAAAAGTTTTAAATTAATATGAATAGAATTTTTATATATAGTTAGATTTTGTTACCAACAGAAGAGAATTCAGTTTCTGAAATCTGCATTGCCATCTGAGCGACTGTTATGTAATCTACCCAATCGATCACTGATAAACATATTGTCGGTGGTGGATGATATAGTTGCCAAAAGCCACTTAAATGGCTAATATATTGATAAGGCAAATTTCGCGTAGTGAGTTTTTTGCCCGGTGGGGGGGAGGGGGGAGCTCACCCCAGAGCATTGTATAGTATGTATTTAGCGTACCACGTACAGTGGATTTAAAACAGATTATTTTACACTTGTGTAATTTATATGGCCAATTTCACGAAAAATACATTAATTATAATTTGGCTGCGTTTTTTACGAATGTTTAAATAGCGCTATTGCCAAATTTTTAATGGTGCACATTCTCAATTTTTTCGATATTATTATTTTATCTAATCTAGCACACCTGAAAATAATTTAACTGACCGTGTATATCTGTGACCTTTTTTCTTGCTGATAGAAGTGTGAACGTAAATGAAGAAAAAAAATTAGTAGTCTGTTTAATTTGATTAAAACTGAAAAATGATAGTATCGTTCTGATTTTAGATTCAAATTCAACAATTGAAAATACATTAGAAATCGTAAATCGGTTTACTTTTTGCTGTTAACCCTTGCGGAGCTTTGAAAATATGTATTATGCGTAAACACGTCAAATTTTACAGTTTCATTACAGCAATGAATTTTTAAGTAGCAATACAATACTCAAAGTTCTGCAAAAGACGAAATTATGAGCAAAAATGAAGCCATTTATGGTCTCCAGGTATTTTAATTTGAAAAATTTAAATTCAAAGTTACAGGAGCTCTCAAATTTTTCGTTTTTCTTCCACATCTGAAAAATTCTTGAGAAATTGTGTTTTTTTGTTTGGCAGATCTTAGGTTTTTTGTAGTTATAAATAAAGGATGTTACAAGCATGCACATGAAAAGGCAAAAGTATTTTTACATTGGCTTTAGAAACTTGGATTTAAAAATAAAAAAAAATTAATAACTTGGGCCATATAATGTCAAGCTTGGGTTGAGTTGCCCTTATAAATTCCGCAACACGTAACGTGTAAAAGTATAGTAAACAAATAATGATATTTTAATCAACACGATACGTAACCAAGGGTATAAAGGGCGAGATGTGTGATATCAGCTTTAGCTGTTAGCGGCAAAGGGGAGTCTGAACGTGTTTTTGAT